CCTGGATTTATTTGTGCATGTTGCACAACACTGCCAAAGAAGGGGATAGTTTGCAGTGTGTGTTTGTGCGTGTGTGTATTTGCACGAGTTCAGTGGGTAAAAACAGCCACATGATGTTTTGCTGCAAGTTCCCCTGGCATCCCTACCAGTGCCCCCTCTGTCCCTCCCTCCCTCCCCCCTCTACATCCCCATGCAAAAGAGCTTGTCCGTTAGGAATGACGACAACTTCAGGAATGCCTCAACGGCCTCCGAACCATCCCATGGTTTTGGATAACCCTCCCGCTATACGTCCCACATACAGTTTGGCGGCTGTTGAACAACATTCAGAGGTGTGTGCTATACCGAGGCCAGCTCTGTCCAAAGGCAAGAGAAGACGGGCAAAGTGAGAAAGAGACAGAGGTTGAGTCAGACTGCAGCTGATCAGGCCAACAGAGGAGATGCCACAATAGTTCCCATTCAACGCAGCAAGAAACAGCCACAGTTTCTGAGGCCAAATATTGTCATCAGAGAACATTAGCCAAGGGCTGAAGCGCTGCCAAGAGGCAGGCAGAGATCAAATCTGGCTTTGATGGCCAACAGTAACCCCATGCTCCCACCACACGCCCTCTCTGATGTTTTGCGTCTTGGGTACTGTACACACTGACATTTCTGTATAAATAAATCCATGTTTGTTAAGCTTTCGAGCTCAAACAGATTTAACACAGTATTGTCCACTGGAGCTGCTTTTGTATTGTTTTGTCCATCTCTGTATATTCAGCTGAGATATCGTTATTTATATTTTCTAAACATATAAAGAGAGCCAAATCTAAAAAATAAATCTCCTAGAAGTCTCTAGATGATGCCATGTTCATCCCACCCCATGACACAAAAGTGCTGGACCAGATAAACAACAGTAACAATTTAGCGATTCTTAGAGCTTAAGTGCTTCAAACAGTAAAGGAGGCTAGCACAAAGAAGGACTAAACAGAGTCTGCATGGTCATTACAATCACAATGATTCACCCTCTTAGGACTGTGAAATGTACTGTGAAAATTTCATAGCAGTCTGCCCATTAGATTAAGAGATATCCTGTGTGCATGCTGACATTTTAGCCTGAGGGTGGCGGTAGCAGGACAGATCAGGGGGTCGCCAAAATAATTAGGAATGATCCTTGAGGGCTGTAAATATCTATAGTGAATTTAATGGTAATCTGGCAGGAAGATGAGATATGTTGTTCAGGACCAAAATAACCTGAGAGAAAGTCCAAGAAAAACTAAAGAGGACCCATACCTGTGGTTGTACCAGTCGCTCCCATTGGACAATAGAACAGACAACAGCAGACATGTTCCTATTAAGTCTGCACAATGTTACAGTGAGTCACAGAAAGGGACTTGTTTGTTTACCTCGCTCACTCTCATCAGTTACTCCCCTGTTGGAAACAGACCAGCCGGCTAAATGCTGTCAACCTTCAGCTCACTGTTGAGCTTAGTGCGTGAATAATACTTTGAATGTCACTATATGTAATGGCACACAAAGACAAGCACAACAACATAAGACAACAATAAACACATAGTGAACTCATTCAAGACCAGATTTGTTTTTGTGTTAAACACTTCATTTAAAGGTCCAGTGTGTAACATTTAGGAGGATCTATTGGCAGGAATGGAACATAACATTCAAAGGTATGTTTTCATTAGTGTATAATCACATGGAAATAAGAACTGTTGTGTTTTGGTTACCTTAGAATGAGAGTTTTTATCTACAGAGGGAGCGGGTCCTCTTCTAAGGAGGATGCCATGTTGAACCGCCATGTTTCTACTGCCGCCCAAAACAAATTTGTGCTAACTTGGCAGCCACCGTAGTTTTACCTACACACTCTCCTGCAGAGCTTTTTGCTCTGTGCACCAATTACAGTTGAGCAAGCCTCAGTCAGAACCTTGGACCTCTTCAGTATGCGAAGACAAGCACATTTTGAAGAGGGTTAAAAGATGAAACGACATATATAGCCACATCTTAAGTTAGCTCATGTTAGCATAACTAGCTAGCTAATCACCAATCATACATTGTTAGTAAGATAACATTTAGATAACATTTAGCTAATTTAAGATTTTAGATTATATAAGAAAATATAAACAGGAAAGGAGAAAGTTGATCAAGTCAACTGTTATTGGAGCACAGAGCAAAAGGGGGTGGGACTTAGGATGAGTCAATAGTGAATCATGAAACTTATATTTATATTATGTATTATATTATATTTTCCTTGAGAAATGGACCTGTAGTACAAAGAAAACCTCTGTGGATAACTGTTATTATTCTAATGTCTGGGTCAGACATGTAGATGGAAAGAGGCAAGAATATATAAATTGTGAAAGACACTAAAATGTTGATTTACAAATATATTAACTTTCCATATCGATATCAAGTGAGAGGTATATAGATAGACAGCCACAGTAGTGACAGCAATCAGCAAATGCAATATTGAAAATGAGCAGTCTGCCTTCACAGTGAGGAGACCAAATGTCAAGCGCTCAAATCCACAACCGGGGATGTCATAATGTAGGTGTACAGTAGCTTAAAGTGCATAAAGAGAGACTGAAACTGAGAATCATATGGTGCGGTGAATCTGCCATGTCATATTTTGCCAGAGCCCATTTTTCAAGCTCTGATCCCTCAGAGGGGCTCAACACATGGATGATTACTATACTATTACTGCTGCTGCTGCGCCAGTTGTCTGGCAGGAAGACACGTCTGGCCCTGGCTGCCGCTGCCTCCCCCCAGCCCCTTCCATTCGTTCCAGACTGGAATGCCTATATTTAGAGTGCTCCTTTCCGCTGTTATGGCTGTTGGATCATTAGCCTCGTTTAACCCTTCTTTACCTCCAGCGAGCTGATTGGCTGAGGGCATGCCCCTCAGGAGTAACCCCCCTCCAAATCCTGACTACACCACCCCACCTTCTCCTCTCAAATGTTGATGAGGAGTGTGGGGGGGTGCATGAGTGGCCGCAAAGAAAAAGTGTAGCCACCCAAAGGGTGCTGCTACTGGGGGCCTGAGGGTCACGGCTCGAGATGAAGGACAGAACACAAGATGATGATAATGATGATGTGCGGCTATTTTGGGGATCAGTTTCTGGCTTTAGTGTGCATCAGCAGAACTCTTTCCTCTCATCTTGTTTTGCTTGACAAGCTAGGGCGGAGCTAAAGTATGTATGGCGATGTGGATGGGGTAGAGAGTGACCCCCGACCTTTCCTCTGATGCCACTATTAGAAAAATCCAAATCTGATGAAGCACATTCTTGCTCCCCAGAGGACAGACTGTTTCCATCTCTTCTTCCAGTGCCCTAAACTCTTAATACCACAAAATATCCAACTACAATTGCTATAAGACTTACTGTGGATGTGCCTGCTCGCATGAGGATGAATCCTATCCAATTTGGAGAACCTGCGAACCTTTCCTCACCCTGAAAATTCACTTGTGCTCATGGTATTGTAAAATGTAACAGGCTGACTACAAAATGTTTGCTGAGGGCAAAAGCAGTTTTTGTGGAAGACTGGACCCATTGACCTCTTTACATTATATTTTTACCCACACTACTTTAGCATTGTGCAGTGTACATATTTAGATATATATAGATTTGAATCATTTCAGAATAACACTATAATTTGGTTAGTTTTTGATGGTGATGGGTTTGTCTTTTCGGGGGCATATATAGAAAATGTTACTTCAATGTGAGTTTTTGCTTCAGAGGCCCTCTTAAGAATTACTCCTAAGGACCCATTCTCATCACCCATTTTAGAGGGCCCGCTCTCTCTCCCTGTCACCCCACGGGCCCCAGCCAACTGAACTGCCTGCACTGTCTGTATTTAGGCCCCTGTATAGAACAGAAGTCCACACTATACACTGTTCTTGAGATTAATGCTGTAATTTGGCAAAATATAAGAAACTAATACGCAGTACTGTTTTATACACAAAAGTACACTTTGGATCACAACTGCTAAGTCAATATTTTAAGAATATTTTACTGTATGAATTTGAATTACATTATTTTGTAAATTTTTTTCCTGCCGCTAATAGCTCCTCCATATCTATAGTGTGTTGCATCATGAGGCAATATTATCTATCCTCCTCCTCCTATGGCAGTAACTGCGAGACAGCTCATGACAGGACAGAGTGTAATTATTTTGAATCTGGAGTGATTGTGCAAAATGTTGGATGTAGAGTGAAAATCTGAACAGAAGGACTCACAAACACACACGTACACACACTATGAGATAAAACCAGAACACTATCGCACACCATCTTCATAATGAAGTGGTGGAAATTTGAGACAATCCTTTCCCTTGAATTAAAGAGTTCATCAACAGCAGTGAAACTGTTCTGGGCCGTCACACATCTGCTGAAGGGGGATTTACTTCTTCCTATTTACATCTTGGCACCTAGACCATCCTCGTCTTCCCATCTTCATAGCTGAGCACTGATAAACAACATCGGCCTGCCAAGTTTTCCCGGTTTGTTGATTACTGTTGGGTCTGTCTTGATTTAGGGCGAGTGGGTCTAATCCAAGATGATGTGGTCTATCTATCTGTCAATCCATGGCTCCGGTTAGCCAGAGAGGGCTGAATGAGTCTCCACACACCACCACAACACACACCACGCCCCAACACGCATGCTGATTGGTTAAAACACCAAAACAGATTGGGAGTGTGAATCGGGGGGGACCTGATGATTCAACGTGATCTCAATGTTTGAATTTGATCTGATTACAGTACACTTTGAAGTTTTTTTTTACAAGACATCTGCCACTTTCACTTTTTCACTGATATTTTAAAAAGAATTTGTCCTGCCAAAATATGTGTATTATTACTAGCGTATATTCGATAACGAATGAGTATGTGGAGAATAAAGTGGGACTGTCTGTACAAATTCAAACATTGCAAACACATGGAGGTAGCAGAGGAGCTCATATCGTTTTGTTTATGTCTATGATGTCATGATGACATGTCTGGCTGTGTGTGTGTTCATACCGGTGTGGATCTGCCGGTGAGCCTCCAGGGATTCCTCTGTCTGGAACTGGGCACCACACTGGTCACAGACTATGGCCTTCTCACCAGCTGCACAACAACAAGAGACAAGAGCGTGGAGGCTTATTACACATTCACACACATTTGGAAAAGCTGTGCGAAATACATACATTTCATTTAGAAAGTGTCAACACTGAATTCTTTTCTAGTCTTATTTTACACTTGAATATATCCATCACTGGAATTGTATGGACAAAAGTATCATGATTTGAAGTTGAAATGAAGACAGTTAAGAGTTTGCATTCATAACACACTCAGCAGGGTACTCATATTGCATAAGAACACCACCTTTAAAAACAAACAGTGAACAAGGAGGAGGAGTTTGGATTTGATGACCTTTATGCAGCTACAACAACATCAAAAGAGTGAACACAGACAACCAATAAATCAATGAGCTTATTGCCAATATATTGAAATCGTCATTCATGTCGGCTGACAAGTAACAAGAAGTGTCAGAGGAGAAATGGTTTACCCACCAGAGAACTACTTAGAACATATATGTGTCACATGCAGAAGACTCCCTTATCTGTAAATGGCAAATATTCATCTTTACAGTTTTGTCTAATTTTTCCAGAAATGTCTTGCATATGACCACATGTTTCTCATTCCATACACAACCTGTGTGATAATACAGAAAAACGCTGTAATTTGCTATGAAATAATCCTTTACTTACACCACTTGTAACCGGCCTAAATTGAAATTGATTGACAACAAGCCCATGTTTTGCAGTCCGATACTGTATTATCTGAAGGCTTAGGCTTTCATTATTTGATCCTCTTTCATTTTTTGTTTTCGGAATTGAGATGAATATTTTGCAGGATTTGATTGATTAATGGGTGTATTGTAATATATAATTGCGCCTACATTTAGCTTTCTAACTTGATGAGTCAAACTATCCGCCTTCACATTGGTCAGACTGAGCTCCAAATTGAATGAATATGCATATAGTGGCAGGAGGTGTCATCTCCTTCCCAATACATGCTTGATGTGCTAATAATTCACTATTCTAGAGTCCATTTTTGTGAAAAAACACACACTGTTCCTTTTCTCAACTGTTCTGCAAGTCTAGTTTCTCTAACTTCCAGATGCATATTTGAAATGAACACAGACCCAAATTAATATATTTAGTTTGTGCACAAATTGTATCAGCTTAAAATACTCATGCAATGCTGATACATTCCTGCTCTTGACTCGAAAGCTGTAAAGTTATTGTTAAGCACTCTTCAACTTTAGTTGCACCACACACGCTTCTGTTTATGCAAGTAGATCAAGTATGTAACCCTTGAGCTATGGTCTGGATTGCCATGTTCGCCTTTACTTTATGGATGTGTACAACAAGGATAATAAGAGAGACAGAAGACTGGCATGCACACATAAACAGTGCTGTTGGAGGGCACATCAGATCAGGCCCAGGCAAACGACTTTTTATGGCTTGGCAACAAGCACTGTACATGCCATACACATCACACATCAAACAGACGCACGCACGCACACACACACACACACACACACACACATTTAACATCTGGATATTGTGTGTGTGCAAAACAGGCGTGCATGTGCGCGGGTGTGTGTGTCTGTTTCCAGTGCAAGCACAGAGCGATCTCTCCCAACCAGACCTTGGTTTGTTCTTGGCACGGCCTCCTGGGTTACGACACCTCCAGAGAGAGAAAGAGAACACAATGAAAACAGGAAGCCAATTCTTAGATGACAGAAAAAAAGTCAGGGAGAGATGGCTTGTGTGGTTTTGCAACCGCAGTGACATTAGGGAACGGCCTGTACTGTAATAAGCCCTACCAAAAGCAGAAATGACACGGACCGTACATGACAGAGTGTGCCTGCCAGTAGAGCGCTTATGCAACAAGTTATGCAAAAGACGGTACGCTGCACAAGTGAGCGTGACTAGATCATAAGCCTCTGCAATGCAACCTTTAAAGCCATGCACATCCTAGATTTGTCTGTGATACCACAAGATTTATTTCCATTTAACAACTTTATACTAAGAGACTAAGCTTGTGAGCAATGTCCTCTTTAATTGGCTGCATATTCAGGAGGCATAATTTGTAGTGTGAGCGTATGGCGTGCCAGTGTCAAATGCACAGATGAGCATATGGCCGAATTAGCTGGCAAAAGCAGCCACTTAACCTTTGGAGAACAAGACATGTAGTGGAGATGTAGACAGAATCCCCCAACACACCCACTGATGTCCCTCATTTGCATTAATCACATAGTAGCTCTGCTGCTTCTTTAACTCCCTGATTCATCATTGTTGGATCAACTATAATTATTATTTTTAGCATGCTACGGTTGCTCTGCTAACCTGCATTGGACTCCTTGCATCATATTGATTGGAACTCATTGATTGCCCTTGCAGGGACCAACTGGGACAGTTTTATGACCATACAAGTACAACCTCGACTTCATTATGTGCTTCCCATGGACTAATATTAGGGGTCATAGTAAATACACATTCATGATTTTACTATTTTATATTAATAAAAAAGGTCATACTGTGCTTTTAACCCATCTTCCACATGCACATGTGCATACTTTACATTACTGCTGAGCATTTCCCAAAACATGTTGTAGTTTCTAAGTTTTAAAATGAGGTTTTCCTACTTTCTGGGTAGATACTGGACTAAATTAAAGTAGTACAGGAGTTTTCACCTGGTTATGAAACAGTCTCAATTTAATACTGAGGCCTCTAAATGACCTACATAAGCATATCAGACCATCAGCGAGAAGATGTTTCTATATAGTTATTTTTAATGCCTGCCACTGGGTCGGATGCCCTTTAAATCAATGAGACGAGCAGTGGAAACACTACCGCATTTGTCCACAGGGGCCACCAGAATCACCACAAAATGAAAGTTCTTTGTTGCTGCTTTCATTTCCATAATCTATAAAAATCAATTTGCCATGAACAGAAACTTCATTCTTCACAAGTAAGTTTGATGAAAATAGAGTTTCCACTGACAAATTTCCCTTCCTTCATTGCCACCACAGAGGTGGACACTTAACCCCCAGCGGCCCCAGATAGGCTCCTCAGTGGCCAACAGATCAAACTGCGATTGTACTGGGCAGCTTCCAGGTGTGAATGTGTGTAACTGTGTGAATGTGTCGCTGTGTGTTCCTGGGAAAAGAACATTTGTGCACAGCAAATCTAATCTGGCTAAAGAAATGACACCAGTGGCTGCCTGGAAGGTAAGAAAAACACATTCACGACTATGGTTTGCAGTATTGTAAAATACAGGTGATTTGTAGTAAATCAGCCTAACACTGGCATAGTTACTACAAGTAATGACTCCGCCTCACAGACAGTGGAGCAACACTACAACCAGTCTTCTGGGAGGCCAAGAGGCGTGTGCTAAATGGGCCAGGGATAGGATTTTAGTGCAGGGCATGCCCCTGCTTGTGGCACAAGGACATAAATTGTCAGGAAATGCCTGCATGGTGCCTTGCTTCAAGGAGAATGGAGTTGTGTGAGGTCACCAAGGGGCAAAGGGGGGAGGAAAAAGTGGGAGCACAGGAACCCAGGGTACACACAGCCAGGCAGCCACCCAGCCAGATGCCCGTCACTCTAGTTAGCCAGCTAAGTGCTAACAGGGGGCCCTCCGCTTGGTAACAGCCGCCATCAGCCAGTTTCACTGCCAAATTAAAGTGATAAATCTTGAGGCCCCTTTGATCGCAAGAGGGTGAACTTGTTAGTTAGGAAAGACGGGGTAAGCGGGACAGAGGAGACACACACTTGACATCAGCTGTTAGTCTTTCACGTGTGTTTCCAGTGAACAAAACCCTACACGCCAACCAGCGGCACATTTAAAATTACACCGCAGAATCAAAATAAACCTCATCTTAAATTTCATTAAGCAAAATTTTCATTTGCACAGAACAAACATTAAATGGTGGCGTCCCCTCGCCGGTTGCCAGGAAACATTGGAATGAATGTACACTCTTGCTAATGAGAAGTAAATAAAAATGTAACCATCACAAAATGGAAAAGCCCGAAGAGGAAATAAAAAAAAGGAATCTCCAAATGGTAGACTTGCCCAGTCTACTCTGTTACTGGGGGAGTCCTGTGTCACGTTGCCACAGATTCAGCCTTTAGCTGACATAATAAAAGTTGCACAACCCATGCTGAGTTAGTGTGTGTGTGTGTGTGTGTGTGTGTGTGTGTGTGTGTGTGCGCATGTTGGGAGGTGAGGAAGGGGTGGTGATCAGGTGCCACATGCCAGTGAAGCCGCTTCCCTTTTCGCTTCCCTCTCTGAAATATTGCACAACTGTTGTTGCAGCGCAGTGTGGCTCAGTTATTTCATAAAGGGCTGTAAAAGAGAACAAGCCAGAGAGGGCACCCTGCCAATCAAGTAAACTTCCTACAAAGCTTGGGAGCAAAGAGTAATATAACGATGTCGTATATACTGTAAACTTGATCTGTCTTTACGGGCCCTTCATCCTCCTTGTAAAGAAGACTAGAAAGACTAGTTTAAACTGCAGCTGCACGTGTGTGCTAGGTATTAGAAGGTTCATATCCAGTTCCTTGGTTTCCTATTCCTATTCCCTGTTACTATTGTTAAGGTACTGCAGTAGTGTCCTTCTTTTAAATGGGCTTAGTCTTTTGTTGTAAGTTAGATCCTGCTAAATGTATGGAAACATTATTGTTACTGTTGAGATTCACATGTCATCTCAGCAAGAGCATGCCGTTATCTCTCTCGGCTAGCTTGTGGCAGGAGTGAGCAGGTGGTCAGGCCTTGCTGTACAAAAACATAACTTTATTCACTGATTTTGGTGAAACTAGCAATCGGGGGCACTGAATTTGATTAATTTACTGTTGACAGAACAAGAATTAGGTTGGAAAAGCAACAGATGCAATAGACTGTGTTTAGGGCTACCTTAGATTATCATGGATTCATTTACTGTACAAAAACACAACTTTATGGCCAATCGGAATCACATTTATGGAGAAAATGTCATCTAGGTGCTCTGCCTTAACTCTAGGTAATTTAGTTTAATGTAGTTGCCGTTAGCCAGG